TAATGTAATGCTGCATCCGGTTTGCTAGAATTTTGTTGAGGATTTTAGCATCTATGTTCATCAAGGATATTGGCCTGTAATTCTCTTTCTTTGTGGTGTCTTTATCTGGTTTTGGGATTAGGGTAATGCTGGCTTCATAGAAATAGGTTAGAAGTGTGCCTTCCTCTTGAATTTTTTGGAATATTCTGAGAAGATTTGGCTGTAGTTCTTCTTTGAATGTTCGGTAAAACTCCCCTGTGAAGCCATCTGGTCCAGGGCTTTTGTTTGCTGGAAGCTTTTTGATTACTGTTTCAATTGCATCAGTAGGTTTTTGCCTATTCAGGTTTTTTGATTCTTCCTGGTTGAGTTTTGGAAGCTTGTATTTTTCTAGGAATGTGTCCATTTCATCGAGGTTGTCCATTTTCTTGGAGTAGAGTTTTTTGTAGTATTTTTTGACAATCCTTTGTATATCAATAGGGTCAGTTGTTACTTCACCTCTTTCATTTCTGATTTTGTTTATTTGGGTCCTCTCTCTTTGTTTCTTGGTGAGTCTGGCTAGAGGTTCATCAATTTTTTTAATCCTTTCAATGAACCAGCTCTTGGTTTCATTGATCTCTTGTATTGTTTTTTGGTCTCCATATTGTTTATTTCTGCTCTGATCTTTATTATTTCCTTCCTTCTGGATACTGTGGGCTTTTCTTGTGGCTCTGTTTCTAAGTCTTTGAGTTGTAGGGTTAGATCATTTATTGCCAGTTTTTCTTGTTTTTTAAGGTAGACCTGTAGAGCTATGAACTTCCCTCTCAGGACTGCTTTCATTGTATCCCATAGATTTTGGATTGTTGTGTTTTCATTGTCATTTGTTTCCAGGATGCTTTTTATTTCTTCTTTGATCTCTCAGGTAACCCAGTCATTGCTTAATAGCTTGCTATTTAGCCTCCAAGTGTTTGATTTTTTCAATGTCTTTATTGTAGTTGATTTCTAATTTTATGCCATTGTGATCTGAGAAGATGCGTGTTATGATTTCTATTCTCTTGAATTTGAAGAGACTTTGCCTGTGTCCTAATATATGGTCTATCTTTGAAAATGTCCCATGTGCACTGGAGAAGAATATATATTCTGTAGCTTTGGGGTGAAATATTCTGAAGATGTCAACTAAGTCCATCTGATCTAGTGAGTCATTTAAGATTGCTGTTCCTTTGCTGATTTTTTGTTTAGAGGATTTATCCAGTGGTGTCAGTGGGGTATTAAAGTCCCCTACTATGACTGTATTGCTATTGATCTCTCCCTTGATATCTTCCAGAAGCTGTTTTATGTATTTGGGTGCTCCTGTATTGGGTGCATATATGTTTACCAGAGTTATATCTTCTTGTTGAATTGCTCCCTTTAGTATTATGTAGTGGCCTTCCTTATCTCTGGTGATGGCCTTTACTTTGAGGTCTATTTTGTCAGTTATAAGTATCGCAACCCCAGCTTTCTTCTCATTTCCATTTGCCTGAAAAAATTTTTTCCATCCCTTCACTCTCAGTCTGTGTAAATCCTTTGTTCTGAGGTGGGTCTCTTGGCGACAGCAAATATATGGGTCATGTTTTTTATCCATGCAGCTACCCTGTGTGTTTTGATTGGAGCATTTAATCCATTTACATTTAATGTTATTATTGAAAAGTACTTGTCTGTGGTTATTTTTATTCTTAATGTTTGTGTTTCTTCTTTTCCTTCTGTTTCTTCTTTTTACAGAATTACCTTTCGCATTTCTTGCACTGCTGGTTTGGTGGTAATAAACTCTCTTTGCCCTTTGTTGTCTGTGAAGCTCCTGATTCCACCTTCAGTTTTGAATGATAGCCCTGCTGGGTATAGTATTCTTGGATTCATTCCCTTGCTTTGCATCACTTTGTATATTTCATTGCATTCCCTTCTTGACTGGTGTGTTTCTGTTGAGAAGGCAGCTGATATTCTAATAGGAGATCCCTTGTAGGTAACTTTCTGTCTCTCTCTGGCAGCTTTTAAGATTCTTACTTTGTCGTTGGTGTTTGCCAATTTAATTATGATGTGTCTTGGTGTTGGTCTTTAGGGGTTCATTTTGTTTGGCACTCTGTGTGCTTCTTGGACTTGTGTAGTTTTTTTCTTGCCAGTATCAGGGAAGTTTTCTGTCATTATTTCTTCAAACAAGTTTTCTATTCCTTGCTTCTCCTCCTCTCCTTCTGGTATCCCTATTAAGCAAATGTTGTTTCGTTTTGCGTCGTCCCATAGCTCCCTTAGGCTCTCCTCTTGCTTTTTACGTTTTTTTCCTGGTGCTCCTGTGTTTGTGTTTGTGTGTTTTTTCCTACCTTGTCTTCTAATTTGCTGATGCGGTCCTCAGCCTCTTCTAGTCTGCTGTTTAAGCCTTCCATGTGTTCTTTATTGCAGCTATGTCGTTCTTCATTTCCTCTTGATTCCTTTTCATGTTGGTGACATTCTCATTCAGCTCCTTATAATTCTCATTGAGTTGTGTGCATTTGTCATCCAGCCATTTGAGCATCCTTATAACCATTACTCTGAATTCTTTCTCTGATAAGTTAGTAGCCTCAATTTCATTTAACTCCCTTTCTGGTGATTCCTCTAATCCTTTCCTTTGTGGGTTGCTTTTGTGTCTTCCTATGTTTTGCTGTAATGTTTTAATTGTAGTTCTGATTGCTTTTCTACCCAGTTTCTTTAGGGTGTGGTGCTACTGTTGTGACCTCTCAGGTCTCCTGGGTTTGGTAGTCTAGTGTAGCTCCCTACTTGGGCTTTTGGGTTCTCATGATGTAGGCCTATGAGCTGGAAAGGTGCAACTGAGGTGTCTAGAAGTCAGCAGCTGTGTAGGGGGTATTCCAATTTTTGCTGTCTTATGCCCTTGACTGAAATCACCCGTGCCCAGCAGGGACTCACAGTGGCACTCAGGAACCGTCTATTGGGGTGGTGGGGCTCAGGAAGCCTGCGTTCTGGCAAAGCGTGACTCTGGTGTCCAGAGTTCAGTTGTTGTGGGGTGGGTAGACTCAGCTTTTGCTGCTGCCTCTGTGGTTGGATACAGGCAATTCCAATAATAGCTCAGAGAGGCCCCTGCGGTGTGTTTGCCAGCAGGGTGTACTGACACACTCTGAAGGGCCCTGGCACTGAAGCCACTGGATTGCAGTGTCTGTGGGCAGGTATCTCAGAAGAGGGAATTCAGTGTTTCTATAGCCCAGCAGTGCACCCCTGTTTGTTTAAGTGCACGACCAGCAGGACTTGCAGCGGAGCCCCAGGGCTGCCTGTGGAGCGGTGGTCTTGGGAGTCCTGCACACTGGAAAAGCATGCACCTGTAGTGTCCAGAGTTCTGCAGCTGTGGGGTGGGGAAACTCAGATTTTGCTGATGCACTTGTGGTGGATAGGCTTGTGTTCCCCATAGAGGCACATAGGAGCACCCGCAGTGAGTTTGCTAGTGCAGGCACACTGAAGCACTCTGAAAGGCCCTGGCATGCTTTGGGTAGATATCCAGGATGGGTGAATTACGAATGTCTGCTGCTCAGGGGAGTGCATCCCTTTTAGTCCAAGAGCAGACCCAGCAGAGGCTCACAGTGGCTTCCCCAAAGTGCCCTGTGGATAGATGGGCTAAGGGGGAGTGAGTAACTGTGGTGGTGAAGTTTGCTGGCGCAGTTCCCTGGCTCTGAGCTCTGATGCACTCTGTGGGGCCCTGGCGCTGAGGGGCCTGGTGCTTAAGTTGCACAGCTGGGTGTGTGGGGGCAGTTATTCAGGCAGAGGGAATTCAGAATTTTTCCTGGGTGGCAGTGAGCCTGTGTCTGTACAAAATCACACCCAGCTGAGTCTCCCTGTGACTCCTAACAGGAGTCTATGGAGTGGTGTGCCTTGGAGACATGCTCCCTGGAGATGTGTGAATGCCTGCACAGGCAATTTTGGAGGTTTGCCGCTGGGGAGGGGGAGGCTACACTTACTGCTGCTGGCAGCACCTTGCTCCTTTGGCACAGAGTCCCAGAGTCTGAAGGTGTGGCTGCAGGATTTTGGCTGGAGTGGCTGCTGGTCACAGGCAGTGTCCAAGGCCTGTCTGGGTGGTGGTGCTGCTGAGTTGCTAGAAGAAGCCCCTCTCCCCTTTAAGATGGCATGGGCTCCGTGCCCAGGGCCTGCAGTCTGGGGACTGCTGCAGTGGTGGTAGTCTCTCCTTGTCCCAGACAGCCTGGTCGGTCTGCCTGTGCTGCACCTGCCGGATTTAACTGTCCCTCACTCACACACACACCACACACATCCAAACACTTTCCATTCATCCACTCACTCACTCACTTCCTATCCCTCAACTCCTTCCTGTCAGCCACCATCTTTCCAGTCTAAACTTAATTTTTTGAATAGCTTTCTTATCTGAAATTCTGTGCTTAATTAACTCTTTAAGGTGATTCGGGATGTGATAAACGTGCACATGGAAGAACTCAGTCATAATTGGCAAGAAGAGTAGGAAAAAGCAAAGGATGAACCCTGGCTGGTTTGGCTCAGTGGATAGAGCGTTAGCCTTGGGACTCACGGGTCCCAGGTTCGATTTCAGTCAAGGGCATGTACCTTGGTTGCAGGCACATCCCCGGTGGGGAGTGTGCAGGAGGAAGCTGATTGATGTTTCTCTCTCATCGATGTTTCTGACTCTCTATCCATCTCCCTTCCTCTCTGTAAAAAATCAATAAAATATATATATTTTTAAAAAGCTGAGGATGATGATGAAAAGTATGTCATTGTGTTTATTGGTGAAAATATTCTCTTTTTATACTCTTATAATCGTTTAAGTTTTGGTATTTCCAAGGGCATCAGTAGCACACTAGAATTCATCAGAGCACTTATTGTTTCTCATCTTTGCTCAGGATTATTACACCGGACTTGTAAAACATGTTATAAAAACGGTGTCTCTTTGCCCTCTTATATGACTTGTAAGATGACACATACTTATTTAGATACTGTATCATTGGTCGGATGCAGAGCATTAACTTTAGGCTGGTGCACACTGAAGACCAGTGAAGAAAGCGAACTGATGAATGGTCCTGTTTCAGGAGAGAAGGAAGGCGATCAGCTTCAGTAGATTCACGGCAGTCTGGTGGAAGCTATTTGGATGCTGAGTGTTCACGGCATAGAAGGGATCGGAGTAGGAGCCCACATAAATGAAAAAGAAATACAGATAAAGATAAAAATTGGGACTCAAAAAGGAGGAAAGAGAGGTAAGTCTAACATTGTATCGTCCAACAGTGAATTGTTTACCTTAAGGTAGAGTTTCTTAAGTAATGTGTAGGTAGACAGTTAATTGTGTTAAAAAGGTGTTTGCTTTTCCCCCTGCTTCTTCCTTCCTCCCTTCAACTGTCCCTCTCTCTTTTTTTGTTTTCTTCCTTTGCTAATTCCTAAGGTGTAGGGTATAGTGTCAGTGAGAAGATCCAAACTTTAGTAGCAGTCAATTTTGCCCTGTTGATATCCCTGATAAAATTTTGATAGCTGAGAGATATGAACTAATGCTAAAGTAATAAATTTGAAGCAATTGAGGTCCATCTTATATTTCAGCTGCTTACTGGGCATCTTCCTAGATCCCATGTTCAGTGGGGCTTGTTCTTTTTCTCAGCCTGTTCCTCTTCCCCAGCATTTCTTTTCCTGGTTAATGAATGACCGTCCTTTGTTCCTCTGAGCCAGAAATCAAGGAGTCATGTTAGATACTCCTTTCTTATTCCTTACTATCCAGTATTAATTGCTGTCAGTTCTACCTGAAGACCTCATTTACCCCTCTTCCTCTGTCATTATTGCTGTCCATCTGGAAAAGGATGGTTGTTTTCCTAATTGCTCTGTCTAGAAGCTTGTCCCTTATGGATTCATCTCTACCCTGCTGCCAGAGTGAACTTTCACCTCTTACAGCTCTTCAGTGACAAAATTCATATTCCTTAGAATGGCTCTCAAGACCTGCAGGATCAGGGCAACTGCCTACCTACCCTTGTATTTTGCCACTACCCATGAAATAGGTAGCTAGTGCCTTAGCCAACCCGAATTACTACAGTTTCTCATCCACACTGTGCTACATTTCTACCTTGCCATGTCATGTTCTGCTGCCTAAGGCCTGCTTGGTAAACTCTTCATCTTTTAAGACCCAGCTTAGTCATTCCCATGAAGCTGATCTTTTCCATTTTGTTACCTGTCTACCTGGCACGTGCTTAATTATTACTCTCCTTACGAGGCTGTGAGCTCTGCGAGGGCAGGCCCATGTCTTATGTAGGATTTATGTGCACAGTGCTTGTCTGATAATGGGCTCGCAAATGATGCCTTGTCTCTCCAGGGCCGCTGGTTCAGGAAATTGTAAAGCTTATTGGTTTAATAATTTTACTTATCTTACTATCATGCAGTTCAAAGATTTAAAGCTAGCTGTGATTTAGTCATTCTCTCATATAAATGAAATATTTGCTTAGTAATCCCTTTTGATTCATATAATGAATGATATTTTATAATAAGTTTATACAAATTAACTCTTAATTATCAGAAATCATGCTATGATAGTTTTTATTTTTACCCCTTTCATTTCAGGGATGGGGAAAGACATCATAGTCATAAAAGAAGAAAGCAAAAAGTATAAATGAAGTATTCATGTATGTGTTAATTATGCTGATGCCAAGATAACCAATATGCTGATATTTTCATTATAATTGCTATGAATAGGGGAAAATAGTGATCTGTTTAGTGCTCAGATCACTATTTTTCAGTAAGTGCTTATGTCTCAAACCATGACTACACTGTTATGCCCTATAACTTTGTTTTCCATATATTTTAATAGATGACTGCTTCCTGTTACTAATTTTGTTTTTTTTTCTTTTTTGATAATTTATGTATCAGAAAATTCTTTAGTTCAGTACTGAAATTATATAAATAATACATGAATGCATTCTCATTGTAAAAAGTTGAACCTTACAGAACACCATCTCCCATTCCTATGGCCACCCAGTGGTAACTGCTATTTACCACTACATTGGTGAGTTGTCATAGAGAAAAGCAACCTAAATATCTGTCAGGAGGGGAAAGGTCTGGCTAAATAAAATGCACCATAGTCATATAATAGATTATTTATATCAGATTTTAAAAATAAACTTTACCTATATGAACGTGGATACATTTCAGAAACAGGTTAAGTGACAACAGCAAATTGCAGAAAGGTATATACAGTACTATACATTTTCAGTGGCTATATATGTATGTAAATATATTTTTAAAGGTTCAGAAGAACCCATACCAAACTTACAGCAGTGATTATTTGGGGGAGACAGTATAAATGGGAGAGATAAGGGGTGGCAGTGAAGATTGGGAAGGTGGTTAAAGGAAACTTTAGCTTTATCCTTAATACATTAATTTCTTGAAAATAAGGTATTCAACGTGGCCAGTGTGGCTCATGTTTGAGCATTATCCCATGGACCAGGATGTCATGGTTTAATTGCTGGTTAGGGCACATGCACCAACAGGGGGTATGCAAGAGGCAGCCAATCGATGTTTTTATCTCTCCTCCCTTTCTCTCTCTGAAATCAATAAACACATTTTTTAAAAGTGAAAAAAATAAGGTATTCATATTTTAATTAAAAATTGTCATTTTCTTTTTTCTAAATGAACTCTTAAAATATACTGTCATTTGTTTTGTTTGTAAATGAAATTTATTGAGGTACTATTTACATAAAATAAAATGCATCCATTCTAAGTGTACATTTCATTGAGTTATTAAAAGGCATACTTGGGATTTTAGTAGAAAAGTAAGTGGAAAGGGAGTGGAATGGTGGGGTTGTGGAAAAATCAGATAATCTAAGATGTAACCAGAGTTCTTTAAAGTCCAAAGTTTTAAGTAACGACTGCAAACTGGCCTATAAAATGTGGAATTCAGTAAGAGGTATTTGATCCTTGAACATATTAATTTTCCATGCTTACCTATTTGTGTTTCGAACTCCTTCATCAATATAACCCCCATGCCTAGCATGTAATAGTTATTAATTTATTTTAAATTTTGATGAGCATTTGAAGACCCCTTTCACCTAACATCTGACTTTTTATTCATAAAGGGCTGATGCTAATAATTACTGTAACTGCTATCCATCTTACTCATCCACTAAGTCCCAGCTCAGATGACATCTTCTCACCTACATTTCTGATCTACTGTGTAAATTTTCTCTCTCGAACTCTTTCAAAAGCCCTAAGGATAGGTAATGTTTATTGAGCACTTACTATGTGGCAGACTCTGTTCTGAGCTTTTAAAATTGTAAAATACACATTAGCCTGGCCAATGTGACTCAGGGATTGAGCATGACCCATGAAGCAGGAGGTCAGGGTTCAATTCTTGGTCAGGGCAAGTGCCTGGTTGTGGGCTACATCCCCAGTGGGGGGCATGCAGGAGGCAGCCAATCAATAATTCTTATCATTGATGTTTCTATTTCTCCCTCTTACTCCCTCTTTCTTCCTCTCTCTGAAATTAATGAAAATATTTTTTAAAATGTGGAGAGCAGCCACAGTGTTTGGACTGTTCAAGCCTCAGACTAATGAGAGGACACAGCCCTCTCGTGGCAAAGCTTGTGCAAGTCCTAGCTTGTAGGGCAAAGCCCTCCCAGCACAATTATAGCCAAAAGCTGTAGTTGTAAGCTTGAACCTATGGTCTGAGCCTGTGGTCCCACATGGCTGAGTGATGTGGGCTTGATAGAGTTCAGGTGTATGTAATTGAGTAGATTCGAAACCCAGGAGAATGTTGTAACCATGCCCTTACTTTGCCTCATGGAATCTGGCTATAAAATAAAGTGGTGGCTTATAGGCTCTGGCGCTGTTGCTAGCTCTCCATCAGAGAGGACAGCGTCCCACCCAGACACAGCATTTTTCTCTTGTCTTTTCTCAATCCTTCACCGCCCCCTCTCATGCTCCCTGAACCTGGCGAATTGGGTTGGCACAGAAAATAAGATATACAGTAAAGTTACCATTTTTTAAGTGGCATTACGCACCTTCCATGGTTGCGCAACCATCCATCTCCAGAACGCTTCATCTTCCCCCAACTGAAACTCTGTGCCCATTAAACAACAACACTCTATTTTCTACCCCGAAAGCCACTGGGAACCACCATTCTGCTTTCTGTCTATGCATAGTGTTTTCAATGTGCATCCATGTGTTTGTCAAAATTTCTTTTTAAAATTAAATATTTCATTGTATGTATATGTCATATTTTGTGTACTCATCTGTGGACGAAATGTTCCTTCCACACTATTGTGAACATGGGTCTAAAATATTAGTTTGAATCTCTGTTTTCAATTCTTGTGAGTGCATACCTAGAATTGTAACTGCTGAGTCATAAGATAACTTTAATTTTTTGAGAAACCACCTTACTGTTTTCCACCGTATTTGTATATTTTCACATTCTCATCAGCAGTATAGCAGGGATCCAGTTTCTCTATATCCTTTGCAAGACTTGTTATTTCTGGTGTTATTTTGTTTTTGATAATAGCCATCCTAATGGGTGTAAAGCGGTACCTCTTTGTGGTTTTGATGAGCTCTTTCTATTAAACTTAGTTAATTTTCATAAAACACTCTTGTGTAAAGATTCTATTTTAGAAATGAAGAGCCTAAGGCTCATGAGTTAGGTAACTTGCTCTACTTCTCAAGAAAAGTGGTAGAGCTAGAATGTCAATCCAGGCAATCTTGCTCCAGGGTTCACACTTTAATCCACCCTGCATACGAGCATAACCAATGGACACAAGACACTGGTGGGCATGGGAGGCTAGGGGAGGGTCAAGGGGAGAAAAAAAAAGGAGACATATATAATATTCTTTGTAATACTGTAAGCAATAAAACAAAAATAAAAAACTAAAAATTTTAACTTGTGAATTTTTTACCTACACTAATAAGAGACAAACATGCAAATTGACCGTACATTCGCTATGCCATAAGCCATGCCCACCAGCAAATCAGAGCAACTATATGCAAATTAACCCAACCAAGATCGCGGCCAGCAACCACGGAGCTGGAGTGAGCTGGAGGCTTGGTTGCCACAATGATGGAGGAAGCCAAGCTCCCTGCAGCCAGCTCTGAGCTCCACTAAAAGCAACAAAGTTTCAATTATAGAAGATAAATAAACCCCAGATACCTGCTTTCAGCCGGCCGTGGCCACGGAGCTGGAGCGAGCAGGAAGCGAAGCTTCCCTGCCACAGCTGGCTCTGAGCTCCACTCAAAGCAACAAAGTTTCAATTATAGAAGGTAAATAAATCCAAGAATAAAAAAAAAAAAGCGAGGCTGGGAGCTTCCATCGCCGGGGTCACTTGGCCAGCCTGAAAATGGCCCTCAGCCCCTCACCCAGACTGGCCAGGCACCCCAGTGGGGAATCCCCACCCTAAAGGGGGTGTGACCAATGTGCAAATACCCATCAGCCCCTCACCCAGGCTGGCCAAACCTCCATGGGGTGAGGGTTCCCACTGGGGGGGGGGTGGCTTGACCAGCCTGCAAACAGCCATCAGCCCCTCACCCAGGCTGGCCAGGCAAGCCAGCCGGCCCCCACCCATGCACCAGGCCTCTATCCTATATAGTAAAAGGGTAATATGCAAACTGACCCTAACAGTAGAACAACTGGGAATGACAGGTCACTGTGACACACACTGACCACCAGGGCCAGACTCTCAATGCAGGAGCTGCCCCTGGTGTTCAGTGCGCTCACACAGGGGGAGCTCTGCTCAGCCACAAGCCAGGCTGACGGCTGCCTGTACAGCAGTGGTGGTTGGAGCCTCTCCTGCCTCCTTAGCAGTGCTAAGGATGTCCAACTGCAGCTTAGGCCTGTACCCCGCTGGCAAGTGGACATCCCCCGAGGGCTCCTGGGCTGCCAGAGGGATGTCTGACTGCCAGCTTAGGCCCAATCCTCCGGGGAGTGGACCTAAGCCAGCAGGTGGTCATCCTCCGAGGGGTCTCAGACTGTGGGAGGGCACAGGCCGGGCTGAGGGACCACTCCCTGCTGAGTGCACAAGTTTTTGTGTACCGAGCCACTAATTTGGGATATTTTAAAGAGGTTTAAGAAATCATATGGCCGAAGCCGGTTTGGCTCAGTGGATAGAGCGTCGGCCTGCGGACTGAAAGGTCCCAGGTTTGATTCCGGTCAAGGGCATGTACCTGGGTTGCGGGCACATCCCCAGTGGGGGATGTGCAGGAGGCAGCTGATCGATGTTTCTCTCTCGTCGATGTTTCTAACTATCTCTCTCTCTCCCTTCCTCTCTGTAAAAAATCAATAAAATATAAAAAAAAAAGAAATCATATGTGTTTATATATAATGAATCAGGTTTATTACAAAGTAACGTTCTATGAAATCAGAAAAGAGCCTTTTAGTACCAAACTCATTGAACACATGTGCTCCTCCTGTGGCCCTCCCTGGACCTGGGCCTTGGGGGTGGGCCTTCACTAGTTACCTTTTAAGTGCTGAGGGGCTGGAAGACGAGTGAACAACATCAGCACTTTATTTCAGAAGATACTCAGAGCCATGAAGAAAACACTTAGGTGCTGAGACTAGGAAGCAACAGGGACTGTGTTGCTTTTCTATCGCTGCCCTAACGAATGCCCTCAAATGGAGGTGTGACAGCAGGTGCTGTGGGTCAGGAACCCGGGGCAGATTGATGGGGCTGTGCTCCTCCCCGCAGGCCCCAGGAGACCCGCCGCCCCTGCTCCTGCATGTGGCAGAATCTGCTCCTAGGGGACCATTTCGTTCCATGTCTCTGCCAAAGCCACTTCCAGCTGCTGGGGCCACCAGAAAACCTTGGTCCATGATCCCTTTCTCCAGCCTCAAAGCCAGCAGTGCGTGT